GAACTATAAGAAATTACAGTCAAGAAAGCCAGAGCTAGTCAGTCCAAATCCCAGGCTATTTTTGCTGTTGTGAGTTCAGTAGAGGGGTGATTACAAGAAATGGAACTTAATTTGTAACTACACCTCTAACCCGATATAACACGAACCGATATAACACGAATTCTGATATAATGTGGTAAAGCAGTGCTCTGGGGAGGCGGGGCTGCGCACTCCAGCGGATCAAAGCAAATTCGATATAACCCGGTTTCACCTATAATGCGTTAAGATTTTTTGGCTCCCGAGGACAGCGTTATATCGAGGTAGAGGTGTATTAAAATATTGAAAGGAAGGAGCAAAGCAGGGAGTTTAAAAACTCACTCTGCAGATTACATATCAGGGAACTGAGGCACAGATTGGGTAAGTGACTTGCTCAAGGTGTCACAGGAAGTCCATGGTGGAGCAGGGAATTGAATCCAGGTTTTGCCAGTGCCCCAAACCCTGGACCATCCTTCCTCTCTTTATTATTATTATTACTATTATTATTCTGTCTGGCCAAAGGATGTCAATAATGGTCCAGATGATGCTCAGCTATAAAACATGTCTGGGGTAGCAGAAAATCTTTTATTAATTTTATTTTTCAAAAAGATACAGTGCAGTGGGTCACCCTAATACAGAATCTGCCAACAAAAGTTATTTTCTAAACCAGGGGTCGGCAACCTTTCAGAAGTGGTGTGCCGTGTCTTCATTTATTCATTCTAATTTAAGGTTTCGCGTGCCAGTAATATATTTTAACATTTTTAGAAGGTCTCTTTCCATAAGTCTATAATATATAATTAAATTATTGTTGTATGTAGAGTAAATAAGGTTTTTAAAATGTTTAAGAAGCTTCATTTAAAATTAAATTCAAATGCAGAGCCCCCTGGATCGGTGGCCAGGACCCGGGCAGTGTGAGTGCCACTGAAAATCAGCTCGCGTGCCGCCTTTGGCACGCGTGCCATAGGTTGTCTACCCCGTTCTAAACTTTTGACCCAGTGCTTTATATTTCCTTTTGGTCTAATCCAGTCATTCTTTTGAATGAAATTTTAAGAATTGATCTTTTGATATGGACACACAATTGTCATTGTCATCAGTGGGTGTTCTGCTCTGGAATAAGGGCCGTCTTTAATATATGGGCTCAATAATAGTCTTCTATAAAATGATAGCCAGTTATCGCCGGTGAATCCTCAGGTGGCTAATGAGACTGATCTGGGATCCATAGATCTTGTCATTACTGGGGCAGACATTTCCCAATGGAAGGGACAGATCTGGATTGTTGAGTTAGGCTGTGGTGCGTTCTTTCCTATTTCTCCATTTCCTGTTGTCTCCGTTGGATCTCGAAATACTGGGATCCTTGCCACAAGGTCCTTTTTCTTTTTGGTCGGTCGAGGACTTGGGTTTCCCATGAGTTTATGTCAATATTGCACTTCTTCATGTTGGCTTTGAGGGTGTCTTTGAAGTGCTGTTTTTACCCGCTCATCGTCCGTTGGCCATGGGTAAGTTGTGAGAACATGACCTGCTTTGGGAGTCGATTTTCTGGCATTCAAAGAACATGACCAGCCCTACGGAGTTGGTGATGGATGATCATAGTTTCAATGCTGCAAGTTTTGGTTTGGGACAGAACACTGATGTTGGTGTGTCAGTCATCCCACTTGATTCAGAAGATCTTACGGGAGGCAACATTGATGGTATTGCTCAATAACATTGAGGTGTCTACAGTACATGACGCAGGTTTTGGCACTGTACAAGAGAGCAGGATAACAACTGCCTAGTACGTGAGAAGCTTGGTTTGATTCTTGATGTCATGATCTTCGAAGACACATTTTCTCAAGTGTCCCAAAACTGTACTGGTGCATTTAAGGTGGTGTTGCATTTCCTTGTCAATGTCAGCTTTCTGTGCCATATAGCTGCTGAGGTAAAGGAAGTGCTCAACGTTCTCCAGGATCTCTTTATTGCTCTGAATTATGGGAGCAGGATCCTGGTGATTCAGAGCCTGTTGGTGGAGTACTTTAATTTTCTTGGTGTTGGGTGTTGGTTTTAGGCCTCAGAGAAAGTGTTGACTATTTTTTGAAAATCTTCTGAGTGGGCGCACAGGGCACAGTTGTCTGCATATTGGAGTTCAATGACTGATTTAGTGATAGTCTTTGTCTTGGATCAGAGGCAACTGAAATTGAAGAACTTGCCGTCCATTCTGCATTGGATGTCAAGTCTGCAGGGGAACTTGCCAGCGATGAGAAGGAGGATGACAGCAAGAAAGATGGAGAAAAGGACTGGAGTGATGACATAGCCTTGCTTAACTCCTTTCTTGACTAGAAGGGTTCGGTTTTGGATCCATTGTTGACAACCGTCACAGACATGTTGTCATGGAGGAGTCAGAGGACAGCAACAAATTTTGGTGGGCATCCAAATTTAAGGAGAATTCTTCACAGAGCCTCGAATGCTTTTGTGAGGTCAATGAAGGTGATGTACAGTGGTCGATGTTGTTCGTGGCATTTCCTGAAGTTGGCGGGCAGTGAAGATCATGTCGGTGGTACCTCAAGATGGTCTGAAAGCACATTGCAATTCTGGAAGGATCTGGATCTGAGGGGGGTTAGCCCTTGGGTGTTGGGACCATAAAGGGCTTGTGATGGCACTGAAGAATCTGCACATGTCATGGGTGTCGGCGAGTTGTTGGGTCTCCTTCTCTTTCTTCTCCCACCACTTGTTCTCCTTCTCTTTCTTCTCCCACCATTTCGTGGATTTGCCTTTGAACCTCAGCTTTGAGTTGATGGTTGATTTATTACTTCCCCTTGGAATTGATGTCATTCTGCCAAGCACAGAAGGCCTTGTGCTTATGGTCGATCAGGTCTTGGGTTTCCTGATCGTTCTTGTCAAAGCAGTCTTGGTGCTTCCTGGTTGAGAAGCCCAGTGTTCCCTCACATGCAGCATGGATAGCCAATTTGAGCACTTTCCAGTGCACTTTGGACCTTTCCATCTCAGTTTTGATATTTATCAGTTTCTCGGTGAGGCACTGCTGAAAAAGGTCACGTTTAGTTGGGTCCTTAAGACTCTCAACCTTGATCTTCCATCTAGATGATTTCTTTTGCATGCACAAATTATTACCAAACCTCCAGTGTTACAAAGATCCATATATCCCTATTAGCTATCTATGGCAGGGGAAAAGCAAAGTGTAAAGCCTTTTTAAGGGCAAGAAAAGCTATCAGGCAAGCTAATAGCTGTTTGTCCACAAAACTGCCAGTTTTCCCTTTTAGAATTCTGGAGTCTCCTCTCTTTCACTTCAGCCAGCTGACTATCAGAGCAAGATACAAATTGATATCTAGGAGACACATGGGCAAAGGATCCATACCTGCACACATCTCCTCCTTTTGTGATAACTTGGGGTGGAGGGTGGGGGGCTTAGTCATCTCCATGGTGCTGTCTCCTATCCTCCAGACCTTGTAGAGTCCCTTCTGAACAGTCTGGGGTTTGTCTGAGGGAGCTAGGGGAGACTTGGTGGGCTGGGAAAGGAATAGGCAGGCTGAGGCAGGATTGTAAGGGGGCACACAGTTCCCACCACCTTTGGAAGATAACTAGAAAATATGATACATCCCCAGGAGCCCACTAGACAAGTCTCCTGGGGGCAGCCATGGCTGGGGTAATTTTTGATCGTGTGGTTCCATTTGACTGCAATTTTAGTTTGCCAAGGTGTTGGGGGCCATAGCTGGTATAGAGGCACTGGTTCTTCATGCAGACAGTCCAGGCTACCCAGGTTGAGGCATCCCATGACTTATTCTGTGGGGGTGATCCCCCTTCCCCCCACCCCCACGATAGGACAGTGTGAAAGGGCAGGAAATCCTTGTGAGAGAATGCTCCCAAAGACTGCCTCTCCTGCTGGGTTTTCTGTGGGAGGGGATGAACTGTGTCAGAGTAATATCAGAGACTCCATAAAGCCATGCTAATTATATGCTAAGTTGATTGAAGTTCTGAATTCTGCTACCTTCTTTGCTGTTGCTCCATTGGTGGGGAAGAAGAGAGCTTATCTTATTATACATTATATCCTCAAGGCAATAGATAGCTGAGTGGAAAGAAGATTGAAATGGTAGGAAATTATTACTATCCAAACATTTTTACTATCCAAACAAGTTTTATCTGTATTTAAGGCCATATCCCACTTCCTGCCATCTATCAAACTCCCATGGGCTTAATGCATCAATTGCAGGATATGGCTTTGCCTACTGAACAGACAGCACATTTATATTTTTAAATAAGTGATTAGTAATGATAAACATTATAAGTCACTTTTTAATACTGTAGTTCAGAAATGCTTTCTGAGGGCTAGATTGTGAATTTATCACTGGGGCTGAGTAAGGGGCAACACACAGTACTATTGCTCTAGCAGCAGGCCAGGGTCTAGATGGTAACTCAGAGAGTAACAATTAAGTCTCTGTTTTCCACATTGGTTGAAGGGTGAAGTAATCTGTGCCAACCCTATACCTGATGCTGATTACTCTGCCCTCCACATCAGACCAGCTGTGCTGGCTGGCACACTGATGGGCAGAGTCAAAAATCCACCCACTCCCTGTGGATGCATAAGACAAGCCATAATCTTGCCCTAAGTGTCTAATAAAAGTCATAGTCTATTTATAAAGGTTTAAATAACTGAGTTCAAATTAGATTATTCAGCTTTTCTTTTGATTCAAAGAAATTTAACATTTTGCTTTACAAAAAGGTTCTATAAGATATTCTGACAGGACATTTATGAAATCTTAGTTCACTCTGTGTCAAGTCCTGTTCTCTCTTATACACATACGAAGTTAAGTAATAAATGTTTTTTTTCTCTTATATAGGTAAGTGAGGTAGGCACCAAGTACTGAATAGTAACTCTAGATTACACTCTGATTGATCATTCTCTTCCTCTGCCTCCCACTGAAACTAAACAGTAGATGAATGGAGCAATTGTAATAAACTGGTTGCTAATGAGTTTTACATGTTTTTGTAAATTATAGACCAGAAGAATTGGTGTCAGAAGATGACAAAAGGAGGTAGGATTTGTACTGGGAATGGCTTTAATTTGAATAGCTCAGACAGAATTCTGCCATCAAATGAGGATCACCTGGAAAAAAACAAAGGGAGGGGATATGGGGGAAGAAATCTCCATGAGGATCCCTCTGTAAGAGTTCTCCCCTTGCATTTTGTTGTGGAAGGGGTTTTGCCTACTCACAAAATAGGCCACTGAGCCCAGCCCTCAAACCTTGCAGATCTCAAGGGATCTGCCAGTGGAAAAAAGACTATTGGTGCAGAAGACTTCTGCCTTCACATCAACTCTGGCTCCTGGCTTTATTAGAGTCAGGACACTAGGGACCCTGGGCTTGGGTGTGGGTGCTCTGCAGAAAGATAATACATAATATAATTATTATAAGCTGTATTATCATTTCTCAGGAATCTCTCCTGGGCTGGAAGGGAGAAGAAAGATATATGTTCCACCTCACCCATTCCTCCCCTTGCCCACCTCATGTTTTCCCCATCCTCCCAGTCAGATCTCAGACCCCTGGGCTCACAGAAGGAGGGGGATGGACTGTGGAGGCATTTGGCACCCATAAGCCTTCTGCATGTAGACAGGTCCCCCATGCATGGCTGTGTGGAGAGGGATCCAGGCCCTTTTTTACTAAATGGGGGGGAGGGGCACGACCCCCTTTTTTGCGTGCATCATGCAAGTGAGTTGCGTAAATTGTCTCAATAGCGTACATTACTAGCAGATTAAATCTCCCATCAGGCAAACACTAGACAACTTTGGGGGTAAGAAAGAAGAGTGTCAGAGGGTATTTGTTGCCATGAAAAGGTTGGGTTTTGATGGAAAGTATGAAGAACTTGGTTGAGGACCTATTAGGTCTGTGCTCCCTTCCTAGCATAGGTTGCTTTTTAAAATCAATGGCCAGCATAAATTTATTTTTGTCAAACAAGGGCTCAGTTTTAATAAAAACATTACATTTAAAATTGCAGCCTCTTAATATGCATTGGAAACAAGGGATTCTTTTATAAAAGTAGTTACAAAGTATCCTCTGTTTGTCCATCTATGGCCTTTCTAATGTGGCTGTTTTATGTAGACGTTCTATGGGAAAGCATTAACACTAAGCCATGATTTCTCTTCAAATAAGGAACTATGGTGGTGTATACGTTGGTCTGCCATCTGAGGTTGCTACCATGGCTCCCAGTCAGACAAAGACTGAACCTAAAGGTACTTGTAGATTGTTTATTGTATTTCCTCTGCTTTCCCCATTCATTTTAATCTTTTACAATATATATTATTTCAGTAAGACTGACCAGCATAGGCAGCAATTTAATTGCATGGAATTATTTACAGTAGCTATGGTCATTTTTCCTATTCGTTTAAATTTCCATCTGCCTACTGTAGTAATCATAAAGCAACAATCTGCTTCTGACCATGATATATATGCAGTATTTTGTCTCTCATGAGTAACTTTAATATAATTTTTCAGTGTTTTTAGTGGTATTCAGTGTAAACACCTCACAGGATTAAGGGGCTGTGATATATATTTATGGAGTTTTAGTGCTCCTTATAGTTCTGAATGTATTTACTTAAATTATGCTTAATTCCAACAGTAGCAAGGCAGTGATTGCTTGATTTCAGATTTAGTTCTGTTCTGTCTATCTTATGCTGCACCCATCACAATTTGATATTTTTTCTTGAGGCAGAGAGAACATGCATTAGCTTTAAAGATTCTTGCTTGATAACAAGAGAATGATATGACATATAAATATATCTTGTATTTTTATACTTAATAAAACAGTGTCTGCGTTCTGACACCTGGGGCTCTGATCCCTGATTGGGGAGGTCTAGATGCTACTACTATACAAGCAGATAATAATACATTCAGTTGATATAGAAAATGATTAACTTGTTGCACATATTACATTCCATGGTGTTAAAATTAATAATATGCCATATTTTAACTGTGTATGCCTTTCTTTTTTCCCTTTAAGATTAGAGGAAAATAATACACCAAGATTCAATCATCAGGAGGTACAGTATGATTTAACAAATTTTATATGTGTAGAATTTTTAAGTAAAAAGAAAAGAATTCAATAACCACATTTCTTATGTTGCTACCATGTGTTTTCGGACTTACTTTACAGTACTGACAACCCCATTATAAATGTGTTGGCTGAAATAAGGTCTGATCTTGTAGTGTTACCGAGAGCCTCTGGTGAGAAGCTGGGTGCCCTCAATTCCCATTTACTTTAATGAGAGTAAAGGTGCTCAGCACTTGGTAGAATCAGGCCAGTAGACTTGAAGAAGGTTTTAATGGAAGCAGGTCCTTTGCAATTACAGTACTTATTTTCAGATTTAGCACAAATACAAGGGCCAGGGCATGGTTTGGCACCAAATATATAAAACAAGTGAGGTATTAGACTATTTCCATGGAGCTGTCTTAATAATATATAAGATATTTATGGCTTGATCCTCCGAGATACTGGGTAGAAATGGTAAAAAAAAAAAAAAAAAAAGTAAGGGTTTTCCCACAGAAAATTTCAGTGAAGAGGGAAAAAAATCTTTTTCATTTAAATGTTCTATGGGAAATTTAGATGTTTCAGTGGGAATTCAAAGTTTCAAACATTTAATCTGAAAACTAAAATATTTTGGTTTTCAAGTGATGGGTTTCTCAAAATAATAAAATTTCCATAGAAAGCAGATACTTCAGTTTAATCAAACCCCCAATTTTTCTACCAAAAACAGTTTAAACGGAATAATTTTGAGCAGTGTTAAGCACTTTGGTTGCAATCCAGCAAAGCACTTAAGCACATGGTTAATTAAAGCATGTGAATGGTCCCTTTGGCTTCATCGGGACTACTCATATACTTAAAAGTATATTTCTTGGAGTTTGATCCTTTTCCCATTCAACCCAATGGAAAATTTCCATTGACTTGAATGGTGCATGAGCAAGCCCTTGCTTGCTGAATCAGTGCCTCATGTTGGGAAGATTTACTCATGTGTAACTTTACACATGTAAAGCATCCCATTGAATTTTACAGGACTGCTCATATACACCTATGTTTGCAGTATCTGGGCTCTGAAGCCTCTATTGCATTTCTAACAAAGACATAGCTAATGTTTAACAGATTCTGTTTTAAAAGTGCTAATGTCTTATATTATTGTTATATCAGTCCATCTAAAACTATTTTTTCCTTTGAATCAGTCCTTTGCATAGACCACTCATCTAAACTTAAGAGACAGCTGCCTTTCCGCTGAAGATTTTTATAAGTCCAGCCAGCAAGAAAGTTCAGAGCACCAAAAATCTTAACTGTCGTAAGGTACAACTACGGGTAAAGTTTAATGGTACAGTATGGAATCAATTGGACTATGATGGTTGCATTATGGAACCTTCTGCTGTCCTCCAGTGAAAAATGAATTAATAAACTTATGGTGGATATTTCTGCACAAGAGCTAATTTGACAATCTGCAGCATATTTCTCTTTGGCCATGTTGCAGATTTAATCAACTACACTACATATATTTTCTCCAACAATTTTTGATAGTTTTTATGTAAGAAAATCATTACTACTTGTTCCTATGGTAGGTTACTGAAAAATAATTATTAATTTACTTCAGAGTAATATATTTGACATGTTTGCATCTTTTTAGTACCGCTGCAGATTTTAAGGATATTTTTGCTGTGAGTAGGATCAGCTGGGCATAAGATCATCAGATTCTTATAGATGTCACTTTTATACAGTGAACCAACTATTGACATTTAATTTTCACCTTTTAAAAATATATTATTGCTCAAGGAAATTATTTACATAGCAATAATGTACTTCATTGCAATATTTGTCAATGGAATGCTAATTTTTGCCTGTCAATATTTCTTTCAGCTTTATTTCTTTACAAAGCATTAAAGGAAAAATATAACTACTGCCTAACCACATTACTGGGTTATGTCTTCCATTTTGTGTAATATCATAATGATATTTTCTCATACAAAGATGATAGTGATGATGTTGCCAGAGATAGCGGGACTAAACCTCAAATCTGCACATTCCTAAACTCTAGAGAGGAGGTTTGATTAGTCTTCAAGTTTTGTACCTCAAGTTTGTCTCTGAGCATTTCAGTATGTATGGTAAATTGCAGTAGGGTAAATGTTCTGTTACTTCTGTGTACTGTAGTGTTAAATGATGGATGGGTCATTAAAAACCCATTAACTTCATAACTACTGTAAGTTTCCCACAAAACATCAAACTAATTGTACATTTCCACATGGCTGAATGTTTTTAAATGATTAAAGCATTTTGCGTAATTCTTTAGTCGAGTTCTTTTTCTAACAGAACATAATATGGCATACATCCAAAAAGCCAACCCATTAATATGTTTCAATAAAGTAAAGACTGCTTTTAAAAACAAAAAACAAAACAGGAACATTTGGACATCCAGAAGTAAGCTATTAAGAGCTATACCATATACTCAGTCATCATGTGCAAATTCCCACTGATTTAACCAAAACATATGAAGGTCAGTACATGACCATGCATTCTGAATCACAACAATTTACAGCACTTAGCTTTAAAGTATACAGTAAATTGTTGCGAGACAGGCCTGCAAAAAAGGAATCTTTGAAAGGATTCCATGCTTCCACCCCCACCTTCCCACCCCAAAGGCAAAAAAAGTCACTCATTTGAGCTCTTTGCTCTATGGTAAATAGTCAGTAGGTTTTGGGGGGTTAAAAATAGAATTGTAATAATAAATGTCTGGAAAAGTAAATTACATCTGCTTACTTACAAGCTGAAGAAAGTTTCCTGCTGAGAACCCTAATAACACTTGTTAAGAAACTTTCTGATCTGGTCATTACTGGTTTAATATATGGATACAGCTATTACATCACCTGTTGCATAAGGATTCATATTATTTAAGCAGCTTGGGCAATACCAGATTTGTTCAGATGGCAGAGAACAATTAGGCCCATTTCTGACCTAAATCATGAATGCCTTTCCTGAAGGAGGAAATCTGCCAATCACCCTGAAGCACACAGTAGTTCAGCCAGTGCTCAAGAAGCCATCACTGGATGCCAATAACTTCATTAACTACTAGCCCATCTCCATCCTGTTTCTGGGAAGAATCATCAAGAGAATGGAGGCAACTAAACTCCATCAGCACTTGTCTTATACCAGCATCCTAGATCACACACATGACTCGGAAAACAAGTGACAGGGATAAACTCCTCTTGGGAGAGTGATATTTACAAAGAATTCATATTGTTCATATATATTTCTGTTGCTATATGTTACCATTTCCTGTTTTCATATGTTGTTTAATTTTGTTTTTTTTCAGATCCTCTCAGGAGGCATTCAAGTCAGCTCCTTACAGGATCAGCCCCTTGGGGATCCAGCCTCTGACTATTGAGGGATTTTCTTTGTTTCTTAATGTTTTTGTTCCTCCTCATCTTTTTTTCTTCACAGCTTATTGACCAACTGCCAAATGCTTCAGTATGGTTGCTCAGAACTTCAGCTGGAGTAATTCAAAGGAGCTGAATCAATTTATACCAGTTGAGGATCTGGGTGTATGTCCTTTAATTTGAATTGCAAGTTTCTTCTTTCACTTTTCCAAAGACCTGTACATCTAGGAACTGTGCTATTATCAAAAGGATCACTCTATAGAGACATAACACTGAGGTTCTTAATGTTTGTAACAGTGACTTAAAGATCTAATGGTACTTTCTGCAAGAATAGATGTGTTAATCACATTCTCCTGGCTAAATCCCAATTTAGGGAAGTGCATTCTGCCCCATCAACATTCCTCCTGCAGTTTCAGTTGAATAAAATATTTCACTTTGCTTTCTCTCCGAAACTGTTGTATATGTTGCTGTATGCAGCTAAAGAGCTGCTATTTATTTTTTTTAAATTACTTCTATTATTAACAATCTCTTAGAGCACTGTAAAATTTACATGGCACTTTATATTCATATAGACAACATATTCCCAGCACTGAAGTTTTCCATCTAAGGGTGATTTAAAGAAAGAAACTTTAGAAGTTAACTTTAGAAGAACAAAATGTAAAGAAACTCTTATTTGCAGTGAAAAACATTTTGAACAATTTGTAGATACAGTGCAATGTTCTCTGGTCAAAAACATACACCCATAATTACTCCAGTCAGTCCACAATTTAGAAGTTCTCCCAGATTCTTTGCTAACACAGAGGGTATGTTTACACTTCAGCTAGAGGTGTAATTCCCAGTTTGAGTAAATGTACATGCACTAGCTTTGATGGAGCTAGCATACTAAAAATAGCGGTTCAGGTGGCAGGCGGTGCAAATACAATCCCAGCCAAGACTCTAGGTAAGTACTTGGGTAGCTAGTCCATGCTGCTGTCCACAGCTACGCTGCTATTTTTAGCATGCTAGCTTGATGAAAGCTAGTGCATGTACATTTACCAGAACTGGGAATTACATCTCCAGTATTAGTGTAGACAAACTCTCCAATCTCATAAAGCAGTGTCCCTGAGTAATGCATCCTACCGTTTCCAGCTGCCTAGGACACTACATCCCATCCTTGTGGACAATGTCCTAGGCAGCTGGAGACGGTAGGACGCATTAGTCATGATCACTGCTATATGAGCAGCAGCCATTCATCAGCACATGAGCACATCAACCCATTTTTCTGCTCACTATATAAGCTTGTTAGGATGAATAAAAATGGTATGGAGGATAACACAGAACATTAATGATATAGCCTCATCTGGAACACTACTGCTCTCCCTATCTAAAAAGGATAATGCAGAATTAGAGGGGGCTTGAAAAAAGATGACAAGAATGATTAAGGGCCTGGGGAAAAACTCTTTAAAAAGAGAGATCAAAGAGATTGGGATTGTTTAATTTAGAAAGGAGAAGAAAAAGAGGGGAGTTTTGGGAGAGCCCAAAAACCTTACACCTGATCTTATTTGTGTCAGTTGACGGAAAGTTTCCCAAAATTGGGGGAGGGGAAAATCCCATTATACTGAATTTAGTCTAAATGGTTTGGTGCAGTTTGGCTTGTTTTTTGATAATTGACACCAAACAATTTCTTCTTTCTTTCAGCTAAAAAAATCAGACTTTCTGCTTCAAACAGATTATGACTTTAGGTCCAATCTTGAGCAAGAGATGATATGTCAGGTGCACCTCCCCAGGAATAGCACCAGGAAGATTGTGCCTCAAAGATATACCTCTAAGTCACAAATCTTACTCTGCTTTCTCTTTGCTACAGGAGTGGAGATAATAATTGCTGCTGGCCTATTATACCAGAATAAAATCAGGTTGTTGTGTACTTACAGCTGTCAAGGGTGATTCCCCACTCTGGCACTTTGAGTGCAGAAGGTGGGGGCCCACAAGTATTCTAAAAATTAATACTGGTCACTCCAGGCTTGTATTAAACTCCCGAGGTTACAGCTTTTCTCTGACCTTGGATGGGCAGATGCTGCCACCACCCAAGTGCAAAACCCCTTTGAGAACCCAGGAAGGCGCATTTGGGAATTCCTTCCTGTGGGTACCCTCAAGCCCTTTCACCTCCTCTCCGGGGAAGAGCTGAGGAAGAAAAACAAAGGAAATCAGCTGTTGCTACCAGCTAATTAAACAACATGTGCACAAATCTCTTAGGACACAAAAATCCAATCCTGTTTTTTAAAAAAGGTAAATTTTATTAAAAACAAAAAGAAAGAAAATACATCTGGAAACTCAGGCTAGATTTAAAAAAAAACACTTACAAGGATTAAGCATCAAGAATAACTTTCTTGAAGTCCAGCTTAAAGGTTACAAGCAAAACAAAAGCATTTGGGGTTAGCACAGAGGAGTCCACAAGCCATAAAGAAATAAAAAAGAGATAAACCTAATCGTGCCTTCCTAGACATTTCCTGATCTACTTACATATCTGGGGTTTCAAATGAGAAGTTTCTAGGTATGATCTGATGATTTTTCATACCTAGCCCAAAGCTTCTTACAGCATTGCTGCTCTGTTCCCTCTCTCCAGAGAATAACAGACAGACAGACAAAGGGGAAGTTTTTCTCAATTTTAAAAAGTTCTAGCCTTCCCGTTGGCTCTTTTGGTCAGGTGCCCACTCACTTCCTTTTACTTATGCATAGCAGTGATACTTTTTAACCCTTTAAAGGTAAAGCAAGTAGAGAACAGCTACTAAGAGGGATTTTATAGCTAACTGGCTGGCTGAGTGTCCATAACAGGGAGCTACCCCCCGTCCCCCTTCATTTATCACAACAGCTATACACCCAGATCCAGTATGTGGGGAGTCCATGTGGGAGTGTACTCCCTACCTTGTGTGGTCTGTTATCTGAGTCACAATCTAGCCCATACTGTCTATTATTTAAACACCTCGTGCCCATCAAGTCCAACAGGGTTCTCAGTGTATAATATTATATGATTATATGCATTTGGTTTAGTTTGTACTGGACTGATGATGTCCCCTTTGGTGTTTTCACTTTCAGCTCGGAGCAAACTGATTGCATATTGGTAAATCCTGGATGATGTAAAAAACATATTGCCTAGTAATGATGTTCTCCTTATTAAGCAGGCTGGACTGCATTTCCATCAGGCATGGCTTTTCCATTGTCATGCACCTGTGCGATCATTTACACTTTTGTAAAGTTGGTGCAGAATGGATGTAAAATGCTACCATTCAGATTTTTTAAGCATCTTTTCACAGGTGTAAATAAATGACCAATCTATACAAGACAGTGGACAATCAGGCCTGTTATTTGTAACAGTCAGCTTTGATTGGGCAGCTGAATCCACTTCTAGCCATCTGTAATAAAAATACAGTAGCACATACCTATGTATACTGAATTTTTTATTAATATTTTATTTTTGTGGTGACACGTTACCACCAATACCAATTAACTATTGTACTATAAGTAGCATCTTGAAAGATCATACAGTTTTGTAGCGTCTTGCTGAATTCTTTGAAGCTTAGATCTAAATCTCTGTGGTCAAATAGGCACCCATGGGTGAAATTCACCCTTCTGGATATGGGTAGTGTGAGGTCTATACCCCAGTTAAGCCCCACTTAGATTGTAAACTCTTTGGGGCAGGGACCTTCTTTTTGTTCTGTGTTTGTCCTGCACCTAGCACAGTAGGGTCCTAGTACGTGACTGGGGCTCCTGGGTGCTGCGGTAATACAAACAATAAATAATAACGTACGGACTTATACTAGATCTCAAAAAGGACTTTCTTGGGGCATAGGCCTTGTGTGGGATCTCTACCTAAAGGTGAATTTCACCCCAATGAGGAAAATGTGTGGGTAAAATCCTGGCTTCATTGAAGT